GGTGCTGCAGAGGCTGCGGGCAGCTTCACAACCCAGCGCTCAACTGCTTTGCCACCGGGGAGGCCCAGGCACTAAATTTTTAAAAGGTGACTAAGTAAATAGTTTATTTTAAAATTCCCAGCAAACTGAAGGACCACATATTCATTTCCTATGACTACAGCTCTATTGAAAGTTCCAGATTCAGAACTCAAATCCATGTCTGCCTGGATCAAGCACTATTTCTCATTCTAGAAGCCCAGCTTCTCACAGAAGAAGGCTCCACTGGTAGTTCTCAAGTGTCTCTGTCTGTTTCAGGGCACGGAGGTCAGGCACAGCACTGAGCCAATTGATTTGTTTGCCACTTCCACAGCAGCTGTGGGTGATTAACATGAGCACTCCTCTAAAAAGCCAGCCTTTTCATTTGATTCTCTCAAGAAAGCCAGAAACCAGTGTTTGTACTTTCCCATGAGTGACTTCATCTTCAATAATGGGGAATTAACTTCATTCTGCTGACCAGTAAAAGGGAAACTCCAGCCCTCAATGTATTTATTAACAGAGCACTTTCAACTCAGAGATAAGGGAGTTATTCTCCAAAGAAAGCAAGGACCCCTCTGCACTCAGGTTACTCTTTCTGAGCAATATTTTCCAAATTGCAGTCAAAAGCCATTTTGTATATCTGCACCTTATTTAATGAGACCCTCTCTTGATGCAACTTTTATTAAAGAAACTATTGCTCAGGGGCTACTGTCTAACATAAGAGCCACTCAGATCTCAGAAACGCCTAACTCATCCCCTTGTAAATTCAGAATGTCTGCTCCTTCACACTTGCACATTCTCATTCTGAGCTCTCTGAATGCGTTTCTATCTCCACTCAGCAAGCTTCGCTATACACCTGGAGGGTTTGTGTTTTTGTTCTTTTTTGCCTCCTGTCATCCTCACTATTTTGCCTGAGTTACCACCAGAAACTTCCTTTTGCCCTTTCTCTATTATTTAATAAGGGTTGTGGTTGCTTTGTCTCCATGATAAATACTGTTGGTTTTCTTCTTCAGTTTTTGATCATGGTTGCTTAGAATGAGCTGTGCACCACACTAAGTATTGATTTTTTTATCTTAATTGTCCAGCCCTTCTAATCTGGGTCAATGTCCTTCTTGCATGATTTCATTACACTCTTACCTCTAGTCATCATCAGGTTTAATAAAATCCACATCACACTTGATCCATGCTAGACACTACTCTTTCTCTCATTCCCTATCTTCATCTTATGAATAAATACTAGTGAAAAGAACAAATGCATGTTTGGATTGCTATATACTTGCCTTCCCTATAGAAAACGGGGAAAAGAATACTCGACACAAAGACAATGTTTGGATAAGTGTTTGATGAATTGGTGACTCATGAATTTCTTGTTTTTCATCAGCTCTTGAGAATGAAGACTTGTTTCCTACTTTATATCCATAGTTATTTTGTCTATGTCCTTTATCTTTTCACCAGTCCTGATATAGCACACACTGATATCACTTAAAGGTAGAAGGGAAATCAAATGTATATTTCCAGTTCCACATATTGAACACCTGCTTTGTTAAGCACCAAAGAGAAGAAACAGCCTCTCTCTCTCTCTCTCTCTTTCTCTCTCTCTCATTTAAAAATCCAAAGATTAGACCTATGCAGTTATGAAATACTGCAGGGAGAAATATAGTCAGAGTTATAGGTAAATTAAAACAAAATGATATGGGGAGTCCAATGAAAAAGAAGATACTTCTTTTTTCTAGGTTCAGATTAGGAGAAATGTCTGTGGCTCTAAATATAATCAAAATAGGATTTCTCTCTTCAGGAAAGTAAAAATGAAAAACACTGGACTATTGTAGGCTAAGTTTTCAGGCCAACAAAGAAGCTATACTGTGGGCAAATATACTGTGAAGCAGACACAAAGTTCTCAACAGGGGAGCATTTTGGACCCTAGAGGACATTAGGCAATGTTTGGAAATATTTTCGGTTGTCATAACTGGGCGTGTGGAGGTGAGAGAGGGCATTTAATGAGTAGAGGTACTTCTGGGTTTTTCATTTGTTCTTTCCACTCTTGGGATATTGCCCAATGTCCTACAATGTACAAGTCGACTCCTACCAACAAAGAATTATCTCTAGCCCCAAATGCCTGATAGCACTGAGATTGAGAAACCCAGTTCTCAAATATGAGAGTGCTTCACAAAGTAACATTTAATTTTAGAAGTAATGTAGCACAGTAAATGAGAGCAGATTGCAGTCTGGACTGCTAATGTTCAGCTTGCTGAACCTGCTTAGCTGCTGACTTTCCCTACAAGCTTTACCTCTCTGTCTCAATCCTCTCATCTGTAAAATAGAGGCATGATAATAGTTACTTTTGGAAATATAATTAAGTTAAATAATAAATGAGAGAGCTGTAGAAATATGCTTGGTATAAGCCAAAGAAGCATGAGGGCTTTTTTTAAAAAGATTTATTTATTTCTGTATACAAGAACTGAGGTGTAGGCTAGAGGTGAGGGGGGTGAGAGGATTCACCAGACAGAATGGGGAGCAGAACAGGAGGACTGACAAAAATACAACACACTCGGGGGAAAGGCGAGTGAGACAGGAGAGGTCTGTTGCGCATTGTGGGTCAGCTCCCTGGCTGGGGATAGAACTGGTCCTGCAGTGTCTGCAGATAACTTGATAGCGCTGTGTCTTTAACCCCTGCACCACCAGGGGGCCCAAAAGTAAAAGTTATTATTATTGTTATTATTATAAATATAAGATCTAATTAGGTATAATTAATTATTTCATTTTCCCCAGAGAACCTCTGATTGAGAAAAACCAAAATCCAACTAAATTATCAAACCCAGATCCAACCACTTATGTCAACACCAAATGTTATTTTGTAAGCAGGAGTAAATCTCTACCAAACCATATCACCTCAAGCCATGCAGATGATTGAAGAGCTGCTAACTCATAAGAAATCAAACAACTACACACTCCTTCCCTCCTTTAAAGCCACCAGAAGCCAAAAGTGATAGGGGGTTGAAAAGACTACATGTGGATGAGTACAAGTATATCCATTAAGAGTTACAAGATGTTATATCTTTGAGGAAAATTCCCATAGTATTAATTATTATAAAAGAGTCCCACAGGTGTAAATCCTGAACAGACATGTGTATTGGGCTTTAGGCAGTTTTTGTAGATTTTCATTAGCAGAACCCTCTTCTTAGAAGCTATATCAAAGACATTCTAAATTGATCCTTTGAAAGGATGGAAGGACATTTAATAGAGAAATCATATTTCAGGCTTCCTTTGATATAGTAACAGTACGTACATGACTTTAGGTCCTGGCTCCCAACAGTACTGGCCATTCAATGGACTACAAATAAGATTACTCCACTTTAGAAATGATGTCATTAATTCAGTTCTGACTTGTCGCTGTGGCTGTGCTCTTCAGTCTGACTGTTCCAGTAGCGAATAGGAAAATTGTCAAGAAAATATGACCTGTAGGCATACATGCTCATCTGCAGCAAAACTGAGGGGAAGGACAATTATTCATTCATTCATTCATTCATTCAATATAGTCATTGAATGCCTATGTCATGTGTGAGACACTGCTTTTGGGACTGCAGATAAAATAGTGATTGAGACTGACAAAAATCTTGTCCTCTAGTGAGTGCCTAACTGAAAAAATACACATGCATGATAATTTCAGATAGTGGAAAGTCCAATCAAAAACATAAAAGAGGAAATACTGTGAACAGTATCTAAGAAGAGTGGGGCATGCTAAAAAAAGAGATAGGAAAAAAATCCAATCATGCTTTAACTCATTAAACTAAACTTCCACAAATTAGAAATTCAGATCCAGTGATTTAAGGATCTTAAATTCTTCTCTTTTTTCTCTTTTATCCATTCTAAAGATAGCCCCCTTGTCCTCGTAGGTTAGGATGACTATGCGGTTTAAAATGAATCATATCCATGTTCCAAACAGCCAGATGAATGAGAACAAGGACTGGGACACAGCTCATCCCTTTAGAAGACAGCTTAGCATTCCTGTAAGACACAAAGACACATCCCATTAGTCTAAACTAGGGCTTGTGACCTCACAAAGGCATGTGACATGTAGCCCTTCAATTGAACAGAAATGTGTCCACTGAAGACCTGCTGTTAATTGGAAAGATAAGGGAAAACTGGGCATATGGGAGAAAACCAACAGAGTCCGCTATAGAGGCGGTGACTATGATTAACTACTTTCGAATCAGTGGTCACCTGTGTTTGCTCAGCAGTTACTATTTGAGGTCCGGCCTGACGAAGAAGGAGGAGCAGACCCGTTACCAGCTCCAGGAGAAGCATGGACATGGACAAAATAGTGAGAGCAAAGGCACTGAAGGGGGCACAAGAGTGACATTTCAAAGGAGAATTGGAAGGATGGGTGTGAGCTGTGAGTTTAGACTGGTCCAGGCTAAGACTGCAGTGGTTGGTCTGGACAGACCAGGGGCTTCACAGGGGCAATAGTAAATGATGGAGGGTTTTAAGCAGAGAAGTGATGTGATCAGATTTACAAGTTTGTAAGCAGTGCTAGATGATCTGTGAAAAATGATGACATGACTTAAGTAGATACTTGGAAAAAATTATCATATACTTTAACCCCCTAAGTGGAAAGTTAGGAAGGAAGAAATGAGTAGCATTTGCTCTCAGGGATTGTTCTGCTGTTCCCCTTTCTCTGCCCTGCCCTGCTCACAGAATCCCTGGCTCCCTGGCTTCTCTGCCAAACAGGATGTGGAGTGGGGCACAAGTAGGAGATCAGGAAACAGGACATGAGTTTGGAACACTTTAGCCAATCCCTACTGGATTGCAACGGGATGACTGGACCTCTCTCCTGCCCCCTGGCTCCTGAGAACTCACCACATTTCACCCCTTATAAATTCTACCTGGTAATGGCCTTGTAAAGGCAGGAAGGACACAGGGCAGGTTTTCTGATCCCATGCAGACTGGGTAAAGGAGGAGTCAGAGTCCTCAGTGGTTTTGGCAGGTCTTTTATTGGGGTTCAGCAGGTACGTGGCAGGCAGGGGTGCTGGGGGCCTGGCAGGCTGGCAGGCCTCCCAGCCCCCAGCAGATCTTCACTCTGGGCTTTCCGGCCTTCTCTCAGCTTCTGCTTCTCTTGCTTCTCTCTCGGTGTCTCTTTCGGCTTCTACTGCTTCTGCTGGGGTCCCCGTGACGCTGCCCTTAAAAAAAAGCACAGTCTTAGCGCAGGTGTACCCACTTCAGGTGCCCGCCATCAGGCATGCATTCAGGATCACAGGGTTCCCTCATCTATCCTGATGGCGGGAGGGCAGAAAAGCCTGATTTTTTACCTTACCTTACAGGCCTCCACTGTTACTAGTCCTGGGGTACTACATTCTTCCTCACTAGCTCCCTAAACTTTATCTTCACCTTTGTGAAGTCCAATGATTAGATATTCCCAGGTGATTCAGTTTGAATGTGCTCTCTCTTTACTGCCAGGGCAAAACTGAAATCGCTATTTTCACCTTGCCAAGCACTTTTTCAGATGTAATCTTCAAAGCTAAATTGTGGAGTAAGAATTACAATGTCTGCTTTAAACAAGAAAAATATTTATTTCTGATATGTTAATTAACTTAGAAAGTGATAGGGGGGGTCAGGTAGACTGATGTTCCACTTTGAGTTCTTTATCTAACTCCCTTCACTTCTAACTATACACTTGGCATATTTTACTTCTTTCTCTTTATTTTAGTACTCCAGGTCTGTGCATTAATTTTTCTTTTGGGGTCCCTCCCCTTTGTTGTACACACTACATATGTGCATTTGAGGAACTTTCCTGTCAACATTTTTTTAATGAAGAGTCTATGTAAAGGAAAGCTCAGAGAAGACATTTCTCATCCACCCCAGGTATATAGAAGCTATAAAGAAAATAAAGTTCAATTCTTGCAAGTGACAACCACAGATAATAGATACTATCAATGCAGGAATTTGAGAGTGGGTTGTAAATCAAAACAACACAATATGCAATCAAATAAATAAGGAATAGGAGTGATGGGTTTTTTTTTCATCTATATAAAAAGGCTGACGTTGGAGAATTTGAACTCCTAGAAATGCCAGTTTTCATTGCAAAGCAAAATTCAGCTGAGATGCTATCCCCACACCAGGTGTCAAACTGCCGGAGTGACCGCCCTGGCAGAATCTACCAAACACCAGAGAGTGCTGTGAGGGAGAGGTGCATACTTTCAATAATGGTAAGAAAAATAATATGGTCCCCAAATGGAAGCATCTGCCAGGGTAGAGGCTGACAGAGGTTCTTGACAGAAGAAAGGTCAAAGCCTGCTTCAATGTAATACTAAGAGAAGTGGATGGCACTTTCATACCATGATAGTGATAATGTAACAGGGTGGTCCCCAGGAAAGGGGGAGGTTCCCTGCCCCACCCAAGGGAGGGTGGAGCTGAGCAGGAAGAGGAGAAGCTGGAGAAGAGACTGAGGAAGGAAGCAGGATGGAGCCAGGAGACCTGGAGGAGACGCATGGAGCCTAGAAACACGTAAAGAAACTGCGCTTGTCTTTTGGTCGTGGACTGGGTGACACAGATGTGGGTGAGACCTGTGGGGAGGTGACAATGGCAGCTTTTATCTTGATGTTGATTTTGCTCTTTTCCTTCCGGGCTTGTCCAGTTGTTTGTGACCCTTTTCTGTGGGTCCCCACTGGAAGATGTTTTAGACTTGTGGTAGACTTTGGGGCCTTGTTCTGGGCCGATCCCATATGGATGGACTTTTACCCACGAGGGGATGGGTAACTTTGGGTGCTTCATTTAGAAACTAGACTCTTTGCCTTACCTGTATTGTTTCCTAGTTTAATTAAAGTTCCTTCCCATTAAAGTCTCCTATGTTTTGTGTTGATGCGGCGGATGGCAGAACCCATGTAGAATAGGCAGGTTTGCAGGGTTTGGGCTGACCCTCTCCCTGTCCTATAACAATAACGCCTTTTAAAATTTATAAAGCCCTTTTTATTCTGAAGACAGAGAGTAGGAAAACCACAGAAAGGATTATGAGCTTTGCTCTTTTGGTGCTAATTGCCCTGGCTTCCAGAGGGTTTATGGTCCAGAGCATTTAGAGCAGGATTGTGTAGGGTGTTTATTCTGCTTTTGGATTAGAATTCTCCTGGTTCCGGACAGATGGTGCTGGGCAATGGTATGCAGCAAATATTTCTTTCACAATACTCAGGTAGGTGCCTTCCTGGTGGCGCAAGGGGTTAAGACACAGCACTATGAAGCTATCCGCAGCCACTGCAGTATGAGTTCGATCCCAGCCAGGAAGCTACCCACATGGTGCAGCAGACTTCTCCTGTCTCACCCACTGCTCCCCTCAGCAGTGTATTTCAATTGATCCTCCTGTTCTGTTCCCCACTCTGTCTCTGATGAATCCTCTCACCCCCCACACCTCTGGCCTGTACCCCAGTTCTTGTATGCAGAAATAAATAAATCTTTAAAAAATAACCAATACTGAGGTACAGGAAATTTCACATTGCTTTCTTTTCCCAAATCCAATTAAATCTGGTTCTGAGAGTCTGCAGAGTCACAACAGGATACCAATGGCTGCCATTTCCCAGGAGCTCTTCTGTTTTCATTCTGGTTGTTCTGCGTCCCAAGCAACTTAATGCAGTCCAACAAACTCAAGAAAATGTGCACACTCATGCAACTGTCACCATGTTTAAGACAGACCATTTCCTCACAGTAAAGAAGTCCTGGTACAGACTGGAATCTACCCTCTGTACCTCCAGTTCCAGGCAACCACTGGTAACCTTTCTGATACTATACACTGGTTTCCCCTGCTCCAGAATTTCATATAAACAACAAAATACAGTACGTATTCTCATACTATGGTTATTTTTGTTATTGTGTGTGTGTCTATAGTTCATTTTATTTCTAGGTAGTAAGCCACAGGACGTTTTGGCCACAATTTCTTTCTCCATTTACCTGTTGACAGACATTTAGTTTCTTCCTATTGTAACAGGGTGGTCCCCAGGAAAGGGGGAGGTTCCCTGCCCCACCCAAGGGAGGGTGGAGCTGAGCAGGAAGAGAAGAAGCTGCAGAAGAGACTGAGGAAGGAAGCAGGATGGAGCCAGGAGACCTGGAGGAGGCGCATGGAGCCTAGAGACACGTGAAGAAACTGCGCTTGTCTTTTGGTCATGGACTGGGTGACACAGATGTGGGTGAGACCTGTGGGGAGGTGACAATGGCAGCTTTTATCTTGATGTTGATTTTGCTCTTTTCCTTCCGGGCTTGTCCAGTTGTTTGTGACCCTTTTCTGTGGGTCCCCACTGGAAGATGCTTTAGACTTGTGGCAGGCTTTGGGGCCTTGCTCTGGGCCAATCCCATGTGGATGGACTTTTACCCACGAGGGGACGGGTAACTTTGGGCTCTTGATTAGAACCTAGATTCTTTGCCTTTCCTGTATGTTTCCAAATTGTATTAAAGTTCCTTCCCATTAAAGTCTCCTATGTTTTGTGTTGATGCGGCGGATGGCAGAACCCATTTAGAATAGGCAGGTTTGCGGGGTTTTGGGCTGCCCCTCTCCCTGTCCTGTAACACTATCTTTTGTCTTTTGATTATAATGAATAAAGCAGCATGGACAGGATACAAATTTTGTGGACATATGCTCTTTACTATTTGACAAAAACTGAGTAGTACAGTAAGTGAAATAAGCCAGAGGGAGAAAGATAAATATTGTATGATTTTACTCTGTAGGGTAAATGATTTTCAGGCTTTTCTGCCCTCCTATCATTAGGATTGCCCTGCCTGAGGGGGCACCTGCAGCTGTTACATTGTTGTAAGCTATCTTGTTTACTTCTGTGGGCCCAGAGGGAAGACTTGCTAGGGGCTTGGAGGCCAGCCTCCTGCCCCTCCACCCCCAACCCCTGCCTGCCATGTACCTGGTTGCTGCACTACATATAAAAGCTGAATAAAAGCCTGAGAAAGCCACTGAGGGCTCCAAGACTCCTTTACCCAGTCTGCTTGGATCATAAAGAACCTGCCCTTTGCCCATCCTGCCCCGACAACTCCCATGTGCAACATAGGGAAACAAAGTAAGAAACTAGCAAAACTAAGCCAAAAAAACAAAGCCTAGACATATGAATGCAGAAGTGAGGTTACTGGAGGGGCTGAGTAGAGCAGCGAACAAAGGGAATAGGGCACAATGGTATATAATAAAGGTATATCGTTTGCTCTGGTGATGGGGTGTGTGGGGTGAGTGTAGGGTAAAGAAAATATCAGGCTTTTCTGCCCTTCCGCCGTCAGGATAGATGATGGATCCTTGTCCTGAATGCATGCCTGATGGCGGGCACCTGGAGTAGGGTGTGGGCATAGGTAGATGGGATTCAGCTGAGCTAAGACTGTGCTTTTAAGGGCAGTGTCACGGGGACGCCAGCAGCAGCAGTAGAAGTCGAAGCCGAAAGAGAAGCCGAGAAGCAGCAGAACGAACTCCAGAGAGCTCAGATAGAGTGAAGACTTGCTGGGGGCTGGGAGGCCTGCCTGCCCCCAGCCTGCACCCCTGCCTGCCATATGCCTGGTGAACCCCAATAAAAGACCTGCAAAAAACCCACTAAGGACTCTGACTCCTCCTTTACCCAGTCTGCATGGGATCAGAGAACCTGCACTGTGGCCAGTCCTGCCCTTACAGCGAGTAAAAGGGAAAAGCGTTAGGCTTTTCCGCCCTCCCACCGCGCATGTGCACGCGCCAAACGGCATGGCGTGTAATGGTGCCGAGGAGAGCAGTGGGCTGTGGAGGAGTGTGGAGAGTGCCACGCAGTGTGGGGAGGAACAGCGGACTGCATGAGACACCTACATGGCTGCTAGAACCGGTAATGAACCTACCCGGTATGGGATGGTTGCACTACAGTGTGGCATGGTGATGATGTATTTCTCTTTTTTTTTAAAGCTTTATTTATTTATGCATATAAGAACTGGGGTACAGGTCAGAGGTGGGGGGGTGAGAGGACCCACCAGAGACAGAATGGGGAACAGAACAGGCAGACTGACGAAATACACTGCTGAGGGGAGCAGCGGGCGAGTCAGGAGAGGTCTGCTGCACCGTGTGGGTAGCTCCCTGGCCTGGGCTCGAACTCATGCTGCAGTGGCTGCAGAAGCTTCATAGGTTGTGTCTCAACCCTTTGCGCCACCAGGGAGGCCCATGGTGATGTATTTCTGAGGAGATCTGAACCAA